GGGGGGGGGGGGGGGGGGGGGGGGAGGAGGACACTTTTCCTTCCGATTATTTAGGAAACAACAAATCGTGTATGGCGAATGAATAAATTATTCAATCATGGCTGATAATCGATTTACTCTTTTCAGAGGATTCGTCGAGCCGTGAACACGTTCTAATATATTGTACGAACATGCTTGATAAAACATCAATTGTAGGAAACTACGTAACACTGCTAGCTACATAATAACTCTCGTACGTCTACGTGTAATAAATACAATAACACGATATTTCAATAGAATTAGATGCCATTTCGATATCAATGTCGTTAGCAGTAGCTAACGTATGTTCGGCATGTAATTGGGAAGCATATTAAATGGCACGTTTAATTCGATTACGTAATTGTACCGAACAATACCAAGTACAGCTGTAGCCTGTTGTACAGTATAAACGAGAGAACAATAATGATCCGTCTTTAGAAAATTTTATGCAAAACAAAATACAGTAAAAAAATACATCAAACAATAATCCCAAGTAATAGCGACGCAGCGGGAATGCATTTGATATCCAGTTATTAGAACGAATTTCTGTGGAATACGAGGATGATGAAAAGGGGATGCAACCGGGTAGAAAAAGGGTCGGTCAAGGGAGAAGCAAAGTCATAAAGTAAACCTCCGTGTTACCTGAGAGACACGTAAGGTTGATACTACAGAGGTTTTTCGCATCCGTGAAACCGCCTATGTATACACCTACTTCTACTATACACGTGTCTCTGACGTACGTATAAAAGGGGAATGAACATTTAGCGACAGTCAAACTCCCCGACAACCACGAAGCCACCCTTTGACGATCTCATGTCACAGAGTAAAACGAAGCCAAGATTCTAATCCGAAGGCTAGTAACTGTCTGCACTCTGATTACAGCAAAAGGCTTGTTTAAGAATTATGTGGAAATCGTAGAAAGATACTTTCCAGCAGCCATGACAGTAGCTGACTGCAGCGCCACCGTGGTCATTCCTCTCCCCAATGAGAATAGGAGCGGGCACTGTACGATCATTGATATGCAAATAAATAATGGTAATGGCAGATGAAGAATGTCAACGAATTGTAAATTAATCCGAGAGCTTTTGATTACACCTGTAGAATTTGACGGCCATACGCAATGGACACGGCCATTTGTCATTTGATGTAAAAAGGTAAAACTAATGAACCGTGTAATCAGCATCGATCGATAAACCACCGGACAATCAGCAGAAGTTGACAATATTTACCTGGCGGATGGTTACAACGAAAATAATGTGCAATCTTGTATTCCAACGCAACGAACCATCGACGCTGATAGGGTAGTTATTAACGAAACGAAGGGTGGAGGGAGGGTTTGGCCTCCTCTTTTTTTTTACATGGAAACTCCTGTTGCTCTGGCATACGCTTGATGCCTAGCGAGAATTTTTGGATCGATGTATGTGATACACATGGAAGGGGTGAATAAGGGTGGAAAAATGTGAAACGGTAAATTTCTATTGGCCATGCGGGACTCCGTGACAAAACCTCGACGGTAAACAAGGCAGTTATTCATACATAAATTAGAAGCACGAAATGAATACCAGCGGCGCGTTTAATTAAATTTGTGTCATGATATACGCCCCAGTTATTGCAAACCATCCACCCACAAGAACACCTTCCGTCCTCCCTTGACTCACGTGTTTGTAAGTTTTTCTCCCTTAATATCTATAAGGAAAAAATAATATCTGAGCCCTTGATAACACTTGCAGTCTTGTGTTAGTTGTAGGCGGACTCGACCTTTATACTTCTTATCCATTTCTTCCCTCTTTTTTGTGATGTAACATATTTAAGGTACTCCTACAACGCTTACCTTTGATCATGAATGTAACCAATAAATTTTATTGGACCAAGATTAAATTGTAACTTGCGTTAATAATCCATTAGGAATATATATATATATATATATATATATATGCATATAAACAATTTTTCATCACAACAAATCGCCAAATTACTGAAACCATCGTTGGTGATAAATTTACAAATTCATAGGTATACTAGGGCATTCGAGTAATTTCATATTATATAATAATCTTTTTGGTACTTTTACCATATTCCACTTATACGATTATTCCTCAGCGAAACACCCTGATGTAAGGGAAGGTTTTATATGTTCAATAACTAGTCGAAAGAGAGCTCGAGCTCGTCGGCTTGAAGACATTTAAATGTAAATGCAAAAGTAAAATCGAATACGATCGGAAGCTATACAAAGAGAAGATGACTTTAAGAAAGCTACTCACCGCCGAGATCTGCACTGAAGATTTCACGAAGAGCCAAGAACTCCTCCTGGACTGGCATGTCTGCTCGTCCGAAGTAGTCGTTATCGGGCCAGACTGTTCTGAAAAACAAAAGAATTCACCGTTAAATTCGATCTATATGTTATCGTCCATCCTGAAGTTCTTTTGATCACAATCGTTGACATCGACTTGAACAATATGAAGAGTAAGTTTCAAAAAAGTTTATTTTTAATAATAATAAAGAGTATTGTACAGCCAATAAAAATCTTTAAAAGAATATAATATTTTATAACTATAATACTACTACTGTATCGTACTATATCACTGTGACAATATCAGTCTGTAAGAGGATCAAATCATGTTGAAGGTGGTGACCAATACTGTTATATCCGAGAGGCCCGTAAAGTCCTGCATCCTGGACGTTATTCTGTCTGCAATTTTACCTTCTCTTAAAGAATACGTTGCATCGAATAAAATAATCTCCACGAAAATAAATTTGTTTTCCAACTGCAAGTTTTTATGAAGCAAATGATAAATCCACTATAAAACGTATCTTCTCGCGCTTCGAACAATAAAACTAAGAACATTTATCTACAAGGACGACAATGAAAGCTGAATAAATCAATAAAAGTGTAATTCGCTTAGAAACTAAAGTTCAGTTCCAGGAGTGACATAAATCACAATTCACTGTACGCACGCATGAAATCATAAATCATGAAAGAGCCTCGAATTCTCAACGAAATTCATGCCCTTATGAAATTTCAATGGATTACTTATGAAATTATAAATGCGATTCGAGCTAAGTGACTTTCTAAAGCAAAGAGGTTAGACGCACCATCTACAGCAGTTTTCACGATAACGAGACAAAGTGAATTAAATAACCTGAACTAGTTAACGGCAAGTGTTTTTATTCTCTTCCATAAAGGGGAAAGGTTCCTCGGGGCAATGCGGGTCAAAATATAGACATACGATGTAAAAGAAAGGCGAAGAGAACCAAGTGGCAAAGTCAATGGGTCTCGGAGGGACTCCGGTGAGCGTGAGTGCTCCACCATGACCTATGCCAACATCCGGTTCCTTGCGTCAAGTGCTTCAATCCTTTCCCTCAGCCTGCACCACTGTTCTTCCAAAGGGTTGCGCCCGGTGCTCGCCACAGGCAGCAGGGGTCGCCGTAGCAGGGTATTGTGCTTTCTAGGAAGTATTGTGTGTCGTGTATTTTCTTCTTGGAATTTGCGGAATTGTGAGAAAACTAGAGCAAAAAACACTCAAAGCATTATGGATGAGACTGTAGTTCTGCGAAGAGTGAAAAGGATCAAAGAAAATGCCAGTGAAATCGAGAAACGTGACTAGAAGGCAAAGCTAACCCGGGAAGCATATTTTCTATTGAGAAAAAAATAATAATAGTACAATGCTATCTCCGAAAAGCAACGTTTTTTAACTATACCGAATCCAAGAAATTCGAACTAAGCGAAGGACTGTATATTTATATACACCTTGACGTCACTAAGGGTTGATGTTCAGTTTGTTTATGCGTGATAGAGGAAACTTAATTTCAAGGTGTCATAAGCCCTAGCAGAAAGCACTTCAAAAGATCCTCTAAAGTGCAAGGCCCCTTTTTAGAGTCAATCCAATAAGCTCATGGTGTCGGGGCTGCTATCCCCTAGTAGAAGAAGTGGCTCGGCCTGGATAGCAGCAGGGGTGACTGAATAGAAATCTAGCACCATACAATTCCCATTATACCTCAATTCAAAGTCACACGACAATGAGATCTCTCAGACCCTTCCCTCAGGCCCTTTTCGTCCCTTTTCGCACCGTCTAAACACACATTTTCACACTCATTTTACAAATGCGGCACCATTTACAATGAAAAAATGACTTTTTATAGAATCAATTTTACATAAACTCACGAAACCTATCGTTACTCCAAATAGATAAAGATAACGTTACTTCCAAGGTCTACTAAAAACTATAATCACACGAATGATCCTAGCTCAGAGCGAGCACAGCAAGCCAGTTCCGTATTGAAAATCCTCACAATGTGCCATGACGCAAAAAGACTAATATTTGCCGAGTAAAAATGATCACTGGATATTTACCATAGCCGATTTGTCTTCGGTATGGAAGGAATAAAGAATGCTAGAACGACTATAAGATGACCTATGAGAATATCCTCGAGGTAGCAAGCATGATTGGGAGTACCGATTTCCAGCAGCTGCAAGCTCACAAGATACATTTACAACGTAAATATAACGGGATCACTTGGATCTTGTAACCAGAAATACAAAAATAACTAGAGTATTACATTATTTACCATAATATCCAGATATTATCATAAATGTGTTACTAACAATTTCCCAACTATAAGAGAAGAGCGAGATTAGCAACAGGATCTATACTCCTTGACGGTCCACCGTCCTTCGTTTCATGTTACGTATAAACCACAATATAGCCATCATAGTTCAACTTCATTACGTGCACAATGAAAGTGCACCTGCAGTATAAACATCAAAGGGAGATACTGGAATCTATAATATAACAAAAATGTAGCAAGTGTAATAAGAGGAGATGAAAGATGCCCAAGATTCGGAAGAAGGAAAGAGGGCAGGTAAGCTGCTGTAAGATTTATCAGAGTGACGAAAAAAAATGATGTAGCAAAGGAGCTTTCGATTTTACCGAAACGAGCCAAAGTGGGATTTACAAAGTGGTAAATTTTCAAGGATGAGAAGTATTGGACAGGCATCTGTCAATAGGATGACCGATGAACGGGCCAGGATCGAGCGTGAAGATTCTGACGTTTACGAGTTGAACGTCGCTCGGCTGTTACGATAGAAGACGAGAGTTTTGAGAAAGGGTTGCCGAGGTACCAGTCAGCCAGGTTGTAATCCAGTGATTGTATAAGGGGTTGCATCACGGAACGAGGTCCACCCATAAATAGATGAGTCTCTGGGAACGAGACGACGGAGACTTCAAAGTAAAATCTAGGTGCCAGTTCACTTCAATGAACTCGGTTCACTTGGCTGGTGGTGGGAGCCTTTCGGATTTAATGTAATGTAAATATCTGCGGTTGCATTTACTGCGCGCAGTTTTCTCCCAGGTTAATTGGGCGGGGAACAGAACATGCCAAAGGGAACGTGGGAGTAGCGATCGAACGAGTGGAAAATGGGGAAAATGAGTAAAAGAAGCAAACGAGAAAGAGGACGAGAGGGAAGGGAGCTCAGCGGAGCCGGAAGTGAAGAGAACCTCTATGTAATTCTACGCTGGCAACGGAGTGAAATTAATGTACCACCGGATGCATATTCACCTATTCTTGTCAAGAGATACGGTACTTGCGCACGTCAAACGGCAACTGCCGTAGATGAATTCACTTAAATGAAGAAAAGCATGATAAAAGTTTTAACCGAGTGATTCGCAAAATTTTGACCTCATTACCTCTAACTGCATTCGTTGAGTTTCAAGGTGACGTACATACATTCGTCTTCATTTTCTCATCCATTCGATTTTCTCCACAGACCAGCAATTGTCATGGAGAAGCGATTATTTTTTTTACTGAAACACGAAATTCCCTATATGATCTCTGGGTATTTCAGGATCTCGAGTAGGTAGTCAAGAATTCATCGAACATACCAAAGAGTAAATCAAGATTTTCCTCTCACTCTCTAACCCCGGGATGATCTTTGTTTAGTAAAACAATGCAAACAATACCATCTATTTCGACCTTACGCGATGCTATCGTCGGAAGTCTGCCATAGGCCAAGTACCATTGTGCCCACGAGCTACGAAAAGTGGAAATAGAAGATAAAAAGAAGAGGGGTGTTCCATACGTTTTTTTGCACTACAGTGCATTAAAGGGTCAATAGAGAAGGCTCGTACCTGCTAGTATCGACCAACCTCAACCCTATGAAACAGCCGACAGCGACGGCGTCGGGGTTGAAACTCGTCTGACGGCTCCTGTCATACCAGCCGTCACCACTCGCTCGAAGACCTTATCTCCCTTTCCAAACAATGCTTCCCTCTCATTGCGGATACATTACAGGCACTCTATGTATACAGGACAGAAGGTAGAAGAGCAATTTCAAAGGAGCTAGTGGTCCATTATCATCCCAGGAGATGCCAGGAAGCTGGCCACTTGCACAAATAATTCTACCCGTTTAATTATTTGCTACAATGTATCTCTCTCTCTCCCCCCCCCCCCCCCCCACTCTCTCTCTCTCTCTCTCTGCTTCCTTAGGAAGGAAATGTATTTCTTTTCAAGAATTTCAAACTCACCTCGGCTTTCCTATGCATGGAACTTCACTGATCCGACAAGCGGCTATTATGCACATAACTGATCGAGTAGTATCTGTGTATTATGTTCATAATAAATCATATCAGTATGTCACTCACACGGTCCATAGATTAAACTAAATTCAACCTGAGAATCGTCCAGGTTAATAAAGATAAGGTTATAAAATATCGTCAAAATTGAACCTGATTCGATATATTTATATAACACAAGGCCTTAAGAATATTTTTACACCTGTTGGTACGTATATGTTCCATTTCAAAAAATCTTTCCCTCCCTTTAGTAAAATATCCATATCAGGTTTTATCAAAGTTTCAATCGTAGTAATGTCGCCGCTTTATTCAAATTGTGATTGACTGTCGATGTCGTCAGTCAAAGATTATGAAGCAGATTGAAAAACGGGCTGACTGCTTGAGGGAAATGTTGGTTGTTGACGATAGTCAATGACGATGAATATTAAAATATACTAAGTGATGTGACATCAAATGATGCTGATGCGTTTCAAAAAGGGATATTTGGTTTAAAAAAAATACATCATTTCAGAAAGTGACATGTTGATTAGTCCACAGATTGGTTGATATGGATAGATGCTAGTTTTAATTTTGAAATGAAGTGGTTGATTTTGGAAACCGTGGTTGTTGCTGAAGAGAGACAGATCGGTTTAAACAAGGAGTGTTTGAAAAGTTTGAAAATCGTAGTTTGTTTAAAAATAATGTGGCGTAATTAAAAAAAAAAATCCTTAGATTTAGATTTAAATTGATTAAAAATCAGTTTGGTTTTTAAACAACACTGATGTGAAAACTGTATTTGTTCAGAGAGCTGCTGTCTATTGTCGTACGCGAGGCGCCCCTGTTGCTCTAGTATGTATAAATTCTTAATGTAAACTAACCGATGTTATATGTATGAGATAAAACTAGCTCATAAAGGCATGCAGTTTCGAAGAATATAGGCATATCCTTGTAAATATTTTTATATGATCTGTGCATAAAATAATATTTATACAATAATCACATGATTTACGTGCAGGCAGTATACATAGAGAAAATTATGTCCGGCTAACGCAGTTAATAATTTGATACTGCTACAAACAGAGATGGTAATATATCCCATTGCAAACTCGGAATATACCACTAATTATTTGCGCAGACAGTTGCTCAATCCTCATGTGGTAACTCACCATTATCCCCTAACTGGAATTTCCAGCTTCGCATCTTGCAGTCGAAGGACCCTCCGACATGCGTCAGCAAATAACGAACCATAACTAATATTGACTGGAAATACGACGTATTTGCGGTCCATATGGAATGTACTGTTATTATTGCGCCCACACGAGACCTTGCGTGGCGGCCACGGTGAAAATTACAAAGACAATTGTTACTACTCCCGTGAGTAGCTACAGAGGTGTATAACTACATTTTAGCCATCGCAATCCAAAAATTGAAAGGGGAGTTTATGGAGAATTCTTCGCGGAATTAAGGAAATAAAGGCTTACATAAATCTTAATAAAAAATTCAATATTACCTTGCAGAACGCAATAGTCCTATTGCCTGTTCGAACTGCTTATTATGTAGTAATTTCTGTACCTTTTTCATGACATTCATTCTGAAAAATTAAACAAGTCAACAATTAACAGGTTGTTATAATTTCTTTAATTTGACTTTAATCATCATTCCATGTCAGACTCATAGGTCGATATGCATACATATAACCTACACAAAAGAAGAATTTACCACGTTTAACTTGCAAACTTCATTTGCCACAATTCGAATCTGATATTGAACGAGTACAAATGCTGAGAAATTAACGTACTTTTGATCTTCCATAGGAGTAGAAATTGTTGCATCGTATGATCTAACTTCCGGTATGATATTCTCATACAGAACAGCAGAAATTTCAGGACCCAAGTCATCCCACAGTTCTTCCAGATTTGGTTGTGATGGGCGCTCCTCCTGAGCTGCTTTTGCGCGACCTTCAAAATCAAAGTATTGAGTTGAATCATTGCAAGTTTGTTAAGAAGTACCAAGACTTACGTTTCTGTGCTTTTCGGCGTTTCGCCTCAGCTTTCTGAACAATAACGTGTCGCGTGTTTGAACAAAATTGTTCGAGCATTTTCAGGAATATATGAACAGTCTCTATAAGATCCACGAGATACGCTCTGTGAAAAAAAAAAGAATATTACCATTTTTCCCTTTCCCCAAATAAACGAAAGACGAGATATAAAAGTGTTTGATAAATTACGCTCGCGGATAGAAGGCGTGTCGCAACCATTAGTTGTAATGGAATATCCTCCATTTTTAATTGAAATTGTAGAAACAAGTTTGTCTTTGGTATCATAAGCAGAAATGAATAGCGCAAAGTCGAAAGGTCATCTAAGTCGAACAGCAAGAGGAGAATATCGTACAAGAAAAGCATAGTGTAGGATCCAGCAATTAAATTACAATTAAAGTGAAAAAGTTAGCCGTTGTTAAGCGAGCGTATATCTGCATGCTTCATTATATTAAGTTATTAAAAAGAATGAGTGGGGAAGAACAAGCCTGTTGACAAGAGATTGTAAAGATTCATAATAGTTTAAACAACTGTAAACTATTATAATACGTGATTCCTTAATGTTTTCAGATTACCAGAAGGTCTAATATATAGTGAAAACGCGTCAATCTGCATCTAGCTTGAATACTTTTCGATTCCGCTATTTTCTTAACTGGGTCGATAGAACTATTTTAATTCACGAAAAAAAAATAAAAATTGAATAGACTAAAAAAAATGAGTAGATATGAATGAAATAAATATACGAATATGCTGTGACAGGGTGAAACGATTGACTGGAACTAAATAAAACGTGTCTACCGCAAGTAAAACTTTTAGAAAACAATTGTTCATTTTGATGATTTAAAGTTGGCCGCTATTGGCACACTGGAGGGATCACCCTCATGGATCTTCTCCATTTGTCAGAATGAAATTCCTAGTTTCTCGAAGTTTTACAGTGAAAGATCGACTCCTCTTATATAAATTGACCGAATATTTGATCAAATGTTCCTCTCTACCAGCAAAATACTTAGAATTTCTTACTAGGATTCTTTGAAGCATCGGCTTACCTTTTTTCTGAAGAAGGTATAAAAGAATTTATAACGTAAATATATAAACAGTATAAATATCTCGTGTAAAATTCATTTCTACCAACCTTGTCATCTTCTGTTCATTGTAAGAAAGTAACTGGCCAAGAATCACTTCCCGATATTCCTGCTCATAAAATATGTTGCTCTTAATGACCTTAGCAGAGTGCCGGACTCCATTGTCAGTGCTCTTATCCATGAACATTAAAGTATGAAGAAGTTCCTGAAATATGATCACTTGAGACTGAAAAGCCTGACGAAAGATGCTGACACATTTATATTCCTTTTCATTTGCACTTATTTCATCAGAATGAACAGGGCAACGAATGGATTCTATTTGAAAGAATCATTTATTCATCTTAAGTATTCATTTACTTACGCGATATGCCTTCAATGTAACGTGTAACCGTTGAAACCACAAAGAGATGTTTTTCTTATCCATGTTCATCGCCTCGTAACAGTGTTGCATCTCTCTTTGTACCAAGTAAAATACCCCTTTGGATATCGTTTCGCTGTGAAATCCATTATGGAGAAAACCATTATTATAAATCCTACGCAATAATTACCACCCTCGGTTGCTCCCTCTACATAGAATAACGGCAAACGTAATATGTTCATGCAAGAAAATATATGCCCAGCAGAATGAACGCTGATTGTAGATTGGATCGTGTTTAAAGTTTACGAAAGGAGCAGCCTATTGAGCCTGTAAAATGGCCAGGAAAACAGAAAAGTGGCCTTTTTTCCTAAACGTGAAGATCGAGTGTAATACCTGAACCGTAAAACGAGTTCTAAAACTTTCTAGCATTTGCCAGCATGAGAGCTGCCCTTTGATATCTCAGTAAAATACGAACGGTACGTGCCTCACGTATTTCACCTGGAACTTGTAATGGCGATTGAACTCCATGAAGAAGCGCAATGCCCATAGGTAGTGACTCGTGTCTGATTCGCTTCTTTGAGCTCCATTGACAATTGATTTTGCGTATCTCATTATAGGATTATACGCTCCGTTCAGGAATTCTACGCAGAATTCTTTCAGGAACATGCGCACACTTAAGGCGGAAGTGCGTTCTTGGCAGGAGTCAACTAGGTCCACCTTCTTCTTCCGAGCCTTCATCTTTGTCTAAATTCCAAAGTAAAATATTAAATACATTATAGCACGTATAATCAGTTTATAATAAATTAAATATTCCCCTTTAGTATGCTCATAGTGATAAATGATAGTACAAATCCAACGATTACTAAATGTACGTTGTCTGTTAATTCACAATCAGTACTGTCACTGCTAAAGGTAGAAACATCCGGTGAATTAAAGCGCTAATAAAATTAACACAACTAGCTCCCTTCGATGCTCTTGAATTTTTCTTTCCTCAGACACAAGGCTGTCTCTCCGCAAAGTCAATAAAGTTAATTTGCAAAACAGATGCTCTTCGTCGCACCAAGTTCTAAATGTTCAGATAAATTTTTACCATGGGTACAACAAGTGGATCGCGAGTGGACGGAGGAAGAAGAACACATACACACAGCACACATAGCAAAGAAGAAACAGAGAGAACGGAATCCGGCAGAAGCTATCGAGCAGCCACGTGGTGATCCTTTCGTCCTTCCAGGAATTCCGCCTGCGGATTTATGACAGTCATAATGAAACGTGCAACCGAGGAGCCGGATGTTTTTCCAAGGTCCGTGTAGATGCCCCCAGGAGATAGTAATGTTCGTCGAAAAGCTCTTGGCGGGGGTGACCTAGTTTTAAATACTCGGAGGCCGTTAAGGAAGACCGAGCTTTAATTACGCGAGGATAGCCCTAATTAACAGTCGTATTTTCATTCAAATTTACCTACCCCCACCCGTCAGTTTTCCTGCTAATGAATACTACTATCCACGAAAACCAACAGTTAATTGAATGGATTCTCTGTGTCTTTTTTACCTTTCCTAGTTTTCTACCATCTTTCGCTTTGTTTCGAGTTCCTTCATATTTTTTTCTTCTTTTTTTTTTAGTTTCCTGATCGCCTTCAAAGACTCTCGGTGCAACGAAGTGTTTTCGCCAGGAGTCTCACACCACTCGATTAAAATAACCTCAGGCTTCCTAGTTCCATCTCAACTTTCTTCTCTCACCAAGTTCGATTGCATTTCGCCACGATTCTCAAGCCAGATAGATTCCCAGCCGGCCGGCAATTATCTTTACGAGCCACGGAAATGACGTTTTACACAAGTTTTACTTACTTTCGCAATTCCAAATTCCAAGGTTTCTATCTTCTCGAAAGGCTTGTGACAGATCAGCTGGTTCTCACCGATGGCTTTCATGTTTTGTACTACAAAAGTTCCACCGAATCGTGAATGCCTACAATAAATACAAAAATATACATCTATTTACAGGATAAGAAGGCGAACTTTTAATATTAAGTATACAGTGTAAACTGCTGGATAGACTCCCCTTTTTGTATTACATCATTTTAATAGCAAGGCACCAAAAGCTGAGCATACGGTAATATCACTAGGTGGAATTGGCTGCGCTTTGGTAGAAAGTGCTTTGATCTAGTAATCGATTTAGCTTTGACGATATATTAAAGGTACGGAATATACAAATTACAATTCACTCATACATATTTTTGCAATATCAGGTAACCTCGTGGCCTCATTTGCGATGCAATATCATCGCGATTTTGCTGTGTCAAATGTGCAGTAGTGAGTTGGTAGTCAACAAACCTCTCATACAGAGTGGTACTTAACGTCTGCAGCTCACTAGAAATTGGTAACAATGAACGGTATTTCACTTCTATTTATAATCGACGGCAAACGATGCTCAGTCAAAGTCCATAAACGGTCAAGATTGAAGGAAAAAAAGAGCAGAATCTGAAGCCTCACATATGAACCCTTTTAAAATCTTGTTCAACAAAGCCTTTTATACTGCGTCAAAAGAATTTTATGTTATGAATGAAAATCTATAACACCTGCACTTGGTCTAGTTTCTATAAAATTTTGCATTCGTAGTACCTAAGCCTGCCATTACCACGAAGTGATTCCATCCAATTTCGAGGGTTCCATCAAGTACTCCACCAACGGTTGTGGAACGGGAGAAACTCGGATGAAAGTTTTCGAGGAAAGTTGGAAAATTCGTAAGACGGTAAGGACGCTGAAAGTGTCGGTGCAGCGGCTGCTTATGGATTCTTGAAACGAGCCATAAAAGAAATTAGAGGATGAAAAAGGAGGAGCCAAGCACAGCGAGTACCGAAGGATAGATCGAAGTTCGATGATAGAGGGTCGTTGAAAAATTACGTAAATTTGTTCGACGATCTAGGATGACCTTTTAAGGAGTGAAAAAATATATAATCCATATGAGTCGAGCGAGCAAAAAATCCCCGCTAAATAATTTTCTTATAAATCCAGGAAAATCTACGCTCGTAATATGATTTTATTAAGTCCCAGGCACATACGTGGCCTCGTATACTTTACGTTTACTATCTACGTACCTAGGTATGTATTCCATATAAATATATATATATATATACTACATATATATCTCAATATAACCGAGTACTGAATTTTCTTTCGACTCGCGGAAACACATAATCCCAATTCAATTTTACCCATAGCTTCTGAAAATCCAATCAATGAAATAGAAGGTCGCTGTCACTGGCAGATAGTCAACTAAATGACAGTGCTGTCCCCTTCCTTTCCTCTATCTTTCTCTCTTTCAATGCCTCCAGTTTATCGTGTCTCTTCTACTCTTCTTTCACTCCTGTAGAAACCCGTGAGGTATACACCACTCCATCACCACCTTCATGCTATGGAGGGTTGACTTTTCGAAGTATGCCAAAGCCCCAAGGAGCCAAGACCATCGATAAAATTAAACAGGCAACAGCCGGCGCCCTGTATTAATTAAGTTTCCCTTTAATCACTATTCCTGAATCACGTTTCACGTTCTTCTCGTGAAACTCTTTGAAATTTAGCTCCTCGCCATTGCGTCAATCGCAAAATCCAGAAAATAGCGATACCCCAAACTTGAGGAAGCTCCTTAGTCACCCAGATGATTTGACATACGTACAGGCGCAAATCCACTTTTTATAATTAAAGATATACAGAAGTATCAGAATATTCGAAGGCAAGAGCCGTTGACTGGGTATTCCGATATTTCTGCAATGGGATGCGCACTGATACCTCCTCGGTGGCAAATCACAATGGAAGGTCGATCCGCTCTTTTCGCGGTGATACGACAAACATCCTAATGCCCAAGTCTCAAAATAAATAGTTGCTCGCTACAAAAATATGACTTGTTTTTTATTCCAAGTAGATGAAAGCACCTATTCATACCGCGGGTGACCTGTCTTACGAACTGGGTCACATTCATTACATCGCATACGATCGGTAAAAAAGCTCAGGATCCCACCCAAGCCCCCGTAACCAACGCGACCAGCACCACAGGCATCATCATTATTATCACTATCATGAGTAACCACATCCTGTCCTGTACGCACATCATATTTATGCTGACCGAGTTTATTCATTTGTGCATTAAAGCATGAATGACTCGATTTCTACCTGGGTGGAAGGCGACCGTGCGCAAGAACGACGTGGTCGACACGCAACGATACCCGCATGCACAATTTCCGAAGAGAGGAAAGCTTGCTTTATGGTCTGCAATGAAATTTACGATTTCGCATTATGATGTGCATTTACGTCTTGCAATAAAAGGTCTGGTGCATCAAGGAGAGAGCAATGCTGAACTCATACCAGTCTGAACGTTATGGGACTTTCGCTCTCTAGGATATGCTTTTACTTAAAGCTTTACAGTCGTTGCAAAGAGGTGGCAAGAATATTTGGATCTATTTACGAATAGCGCGTACACGAACTCGCGAAACGAAAGCGAGTTTTGAATGTAAAATAAATGAGAAAGCTTTGCACCGAAGATGACACGTGATACAGTGAGGTTCTGAGGATACACAGATGGTGTTCATAAAGGCATATTATGGGAATGTTGAACAGTTCTTTGCCAGCAGTGTACGTCCCATTGATACTGTACGAACAACGTAGATATTTACTCAAAGATATTCGGAAATTTTTTGGAACTTCCCTATTTGATACCGATGAAACATTTGAAGAGGGTTAACAGAGATTCGACGAACCATTGAATGATATCAAAGTGATATTTTCAATTACAGTACAGCGTTCAAGGTTTGACTATTTAGGAGGTAGGAGCAAGTGATTAAAACTTACCTAGATCCGGCATATTTTTTCACTCGTTCCATTTTCTGCTTTATCTCATGATCCCGCCTAGTCTGCAGCTGTGCGCCATCCCGTTCTTTTTCGGCAGCCGTGCGTTCCAATCCTACTTTGCTCAAGCGGCTGGCGCTTTGCTCACGAAGCATTAGAGATATTATCTGAATATAACGTAATTCAACATTTTATTATTATAACAGAATATGTTGCAATCAAATATGAAACGTGAATGGATACCTCTAAAATTTGCATGTGATATTGTTGTTCGCTGCTATTACTAGCAATAAACAATAATAAATCAACCAAACCGGAAGCATGTAGGGCAAATAATACCTGAAAATAAAAAGTATTTCAACCAAAGTTATATACTGGATTAAAAATGGTAATGAAATTTATACTTCATCATGAATAGTGGCATCATTATCAGTTCTTTTTTCATTGTCATCTGGTGGTATTTGTAAAACGTTTCTGACTAATGTTAAAATCCTTTCAATAATCAACTCATTTTCTTCGCCTCTCTCACCACTATCCTGAGAATGGAGAAAACAGAACAATAATTTAACACAATTGATTGCAATTTGTAATATTTTTTACTACTATGCTTACAATGTTGAGGATTTTTCCAAAGCGTTCACTAACGACTGTCCAAACACTGTCATCTGCTAATGCAACCTTATAACCCTGCAATTGCAAAACCACTTGCTGATACAAGCTACGTGAAACTTTTTCAGTAGGGAGATCTTCATTATAGATCACTAATGCTGGACTTGTGAGGTTAATCATCAATCTGTTTACAAAATTTTATCATAACTTACTGTTCTATACTTAAAAAAAAAATATATAATACAATAGATGTCAAAGAAACTTGCCGTAATAAAACATCCCATAGGTCACATTTTTCAGGATACTGAATGAAAATTTTGATCAAGTCTGTTTGAAGGAGCTGTGCTTGACCAAGATAACGTCGAACTGTGTGATCGCTATCATCCCTTTTCAAATACTTTATCAAATCCTTTATAACATCTGCATGTATAATATAACAATGAATGGATATTCCTTTAAATTCAGTGATACCTAAAACTCACCTAAGCAATGTCGATCTAAGTGGTACTTTTTTCCATCATAATACCCTAACGCAGCACATGTAGCTGACAACTCAGCAGAAAGATAATCCTGCATTATATTCGATAAACGTACTTATACAATTATGCTTTAAACAGTTTGCACTGCAAACTGCATAAACCTGTAAATAATAAAATGAACGTGTGATATAAATCCAAACGTTTACGAAGACTTACATCTCGTGTCAGTGCATAAGTTTATACGTGAAAATAAAAATAATGTAAAACAAGTAATATAGTAATCAGTAATGCTTAGTATTATCCTAAAGTAGCAAAAAAGTATACAATAGAAGACAAATGCTATATAACGAGAAATACAGATCGTAAACCAGTATATAAAATGTACATCTAGAAATAAATATAGTGATGTAATCTTAATGACCAATAGCTAACTATTCGAAGAACCACTCATATTATTAACGTTATTAGTATTAATAACGTTAATTACATATTAGTATTAATTACGTATAACATAGTATTAACTCATATTAACAACAAACGTATACAAATTATTAATGTGTAAACCTATGTTTTGAATCCATCTCAGTAAGGTTAGAAATCATGTGAAAATTCAGAAATAAAAGGTATTATCGCCGTATTCATACGTACCATTCATATGTGAACTAAATATAATTTTAATAAACACTTCATATAAATAATCACTTCACATTTCCATATACGTATATTCGGTAAGATTTAAGCTATGAAATCGATGCACATTCAAACGCAACAGGTGAAGAAAACGCGCCAATTCACAACTGACAGTAAGAACTGAATCAGGATTGGTCGAAAACCGAGACGCCATGTTTAGAAACATTTTGAACATGACATGAGTTAAATACAAATAATACTGTTATACATGTATAAATGAACACTGTGCATGAATTTCAACATATGTACGTGAAATCACATTGATATTCAAACAATTTATAAATAATATAACCTAGTAGTATGTAACAACGGGAATAAGAATAACATTGTTATTCATAAAAGGATTGCTTTAATATATTCGTGAAGTTAAGTGATAGTGATAGAGGTGAAGTATAACGTGAAGTTAGAGCATATTTATAAAATATTCATAGTAGATATTATGCAAACAAATGTACTTACGCAGTCCATCCAAAATTCTTATGCGGAAACTAGACTGAAAGGATAAGATTGGCAAGGGATTAAGTGAGGGTCAAATGGTGTATCGTTACCCGCATTTGGAGAACGGTCAAGCCATGTTATGCATTATACATCATACAAACCCCGTGAAAATCATAGAACACCTCCATCGCCTAACTGGATGACAGCATCCTAAACCATAGTATCACCATACCGAAGTTAACCCTTCACAAGATGAAGCAGATCAAACTGGCCAACCCTGGTAAGTCACGATTCAGATACCCTTTTCACTATCCATACAAACTGAAAATTTAGAGGCGTATAAAGTTTTATAACATATTGAATTGAACAATTAATATACAATATTAAATCAAATACGCATTTATTCTAAATTAATAATATAAAAAGTTACAATTTTCATTCGATAGAAAATGCCTATGAATTGCCTCTACTCCATATCCTTCAAGAGTATGACATTTGATGTACTTAGAATGCTGGAAAAGGCTGATTCTAGAATACTGATAAAATGTAAAAAAAAAAACTGATTACCAAGTAAATCGATTTCTTTTTGCTGTGAACCGAAAAAGCATGCCCAGCACCAGCTTCAATAAAAATTTTATTTAAGCGTTTCGCAAAGTGAGCAAAACTCTACGAGTTGAAGGTACCGAGCAAAGCTGACGTACGTGCAGAAGCAAACGTTGGTAAGTACTTTCCTCTCGTACGACCGTAACTACCATAGAAACGTACGGCTGGGTAATAACTATCCATCTAGCAATACGCAATCCCTTGAGGGACTTTAGATATAAATAATACTATAAATCCAGCGCAGTTACTCAGTACGTGGATTCTGACATGAGTTAGATGCGGAGGGATTAGATCCGAGAACAATACAGGTCTATTGGCATGGGACAAATAAAACAATAGCTAATCGATACTACTATTGATGCATCTAGGTTATTAGGTAATAGTGCAATGCGTAGTATGTAGTTCAGATGATCGGTCAACACCCGTGTATTAATTCGATATTTGTTATATTTGCAAACCTATGATTTATGAGGAAGAAGATATATCAGAGTATACGAAAATTTCGACGGCCGTTTGTGCAACACAGCTTAAAGATGAAAATTATTATAGCGCCGTAGCACCTTCGAAAAAGTGATTCTGGTTAGGAGGAAACTGTGAAAAAAGAAGAATAGTGTACCAGTACAATGCGTATGTCGAAGAATATTTTATCCGGGATGTAATGTAAAATTTCATTCTGAATTTCGTTTCAACTAAAACGAAGAGCATATATGCCACCAGTCGTTCCTTGAAATATACTGGTTTGGCTATTGGATAAGTGTTTAATAACGTTTTTTGATTACTCCATAATTAGAAGTAACGATTATACTTCCAATTAACTCTGTAAACATTGCAGTATTTCAATCTGACGTTTGAATTTTCCTCTGCCGCAGATTCCAGCTTTTGGCAAATACTCAAATTCATGGTAAATACGTTACGTTCAAATTGCGTATATCGGCTATAGTCTCGGGCAATACAAAATAGTTATAGGTATATTAAATGTAAATGCAAACGAACCAACTTTTATAAAGCGCTCATATACCAGTATAACTTTCATACCCACCACACGTCCATGTATAAGCAGTAACATTGTCCTATTATTTATGCAAGTCAGTATACATATACATATCCTATTTCGTTACACGGTCATTAGAATTGCATAACACAATCTTCGTAATGCAATTCTACGTCCAATTCAATTACTAACAAACGCGAATGTCAAGCGCTTTATGTCTGACATTTCACATGGAATATGACGCAATCTCCTGATTAATCAGTTACTCCAAGCATAATAACATTGGCATTCAATTTGTGTACTATATATAAACTTCTTTTACGTGAGACATAAATTACTAAATATTTTCACCAGTACATATTAGAGTGAAGATTGTTTGCAAAGATGGAATATGTTACCGAATGGAATATGTTACCGTTCATTAAACTAACATTATAATTTTTAGATGAAAGACGCAAGCCTTATTTTCCCATGTATCTGTCAAAGGCAGATGAAAATTCACGGATGTACAAAGCTGAAGATCTCTTGTTAAAAAAAGGCTGCAAAGTAGAACCTTGCAAATTGCTTCCTCATTATTTTACTTGGTTTTTTCTATCACCTTAACTTACACTTTGCTTCTTGAATCCTTTCCTTCGTTCACAAAGCCTCCACTATGAGGAAGTTCTTTGATTTATTTTCGCGAGTTATGTACAACTGAACTTTGGTACTTACAGGAATAAAAAATAAAAAATGTATAATTTAAAAAAAAACTAGCCACGTTTCACACGGCTATGAAACGCCGTAACAAACACGGTTGCATCATATTTTCATTATGTACAAAGTTTTGGCTCACTTCCTTAAATTTTGCGGAAGCTGATGCGATAACGATAATTTTTTGAAAATTTCAAAACCACGTAAAATCTGAACCGCTTTAGCGATCTTGTCGAAATTCAATACCAAACAACATTAAACGTATCTTCAGTTATGAAGAACTATTTAGCTAAATGGTCGAACTTTTACGAAAGTTAGAGCGACCACGCCCTTTTTTCAAAAAATTTTAAATGACAAAATCTGAATGGCTGCATATAATTCATTAAAAATCGCAACATTTAAAGAGGGATATCTACTTTACTTGCGTGCCAAATTTCAGTCCGATCGTTCTAACGGTTACTGAGTAAGAGGCAATTGAATTTTCGAAGCCCTGCACACACACACACATACATACATACATACGGACATTTTTTCTAAACTACTTTTCTTGACGTTTTAGACCATGTTAAGTATTCTGACATGAAAATTTCGAAAAACAATTTTTTCAACAACGTGCAGACATTCATTGAAATTACATCGGAGCACGCATAGTGGCTGATATTTTCTATGAAAAGGAATTGGAAATAAAAAAGGAACCGAAACGATAGAAACGAGTCAGAGAGCTTGAACAAGCTTAAACGTATACAAATTTGAAAACGCATTCCAGTCACGATCTCCAATTGGACTGGCGTTAGTGCCAGTATGAAACTGGCATTTTATTTGACGGCGATAACGAAAGCCAGCAAACTGCAGTTTTAAGGTTAACGGCGTATTCTGCGTCATCCTGATACAACTACTCAAATCAAACATCACAAAGAAAAAGAGCCACGTGGGTGTCGGCATTCAACGTATAAATTTCCAAACTATAATATGAACTTCGAATGTCTATATCTTCCATTATACGAAACCTTGTTAGAGCTGACCTTTTTAAATTACAATGTATGTATTATGTAACCAAGTCACACGAGCGTTTTTCCAAAGCAACTAAATGATTAACATAAAATAAATGAAAATATTTTTGAATCGATAAAATCTGACATGGATTTTTTTTAATGGAAAAGGGAGGATCAGTACATTCGTGAAGTCGACATTGAGTATTTGCAACTCTTAATACTGGAACAATTTTTTTTTTTTGGTAAATTAAGATAAAGACTTTTCACAACGTTGCAAAATTCCATTCCATAGCGTCCCGACTCAAAGATTACTGGTAGTTTATGTAACGCATGCAAAATTGTAATGCTCTTCTAGCGCGCAAAGTTCTCTGCTAAATGTTGTGTATGTAATCTCACCGCTAACGAGTTAATTTAGTTAATTCCCAAAGTTTCTCTAGCAGCGTACATAAAAAGCCACGGGACTACCCAGGGTGTACTTACTCGTGTTTGCGCCAAAGGATTGTCCATTGTTCTTTAGAAGAAACTGGATAACAGCAAATGTACTTGACTACAGCATTTCCGTTGCATCCCAGAACAAATTTTTTGGCGGGTAGTAATAATACATAGAATATCGCAAATGAAATGCTCTGTATAAATTCCTCATATACTAATATACGAATATTTCTGTACTCCGGGTGACTGACTATACCGTTATCATGCTCCTTGAATTTTATCTGGCCTTTGAATAAGGGCGTCTAGACGCGTCGCACAATGCTGCACTTACTGCTCATTTCTGAACGCCTAACACTGCACTTATTTGAATGCAAATGAACCCATTCATATTTGAAGATGCACTACGCGATGCAGCTTCCATCACCATGGTTTATGTTAATCACGATATTTGCAACCTCTATGCTCTTCTGGAGCTTCGTCTTCGGTAAGGCAGAAATAAACGCCATTATTCTGAGGATAATATTCGATATCAAAGTTATTCGATTAAATACATGTAAAAGTGACCGAGTTTGTCGATAATTTCTAGTATCAAAATAACTTTGTGTACGAGTATCCAAGTGCATATTCCAAGATAGGTAACATTTGACCTCGTCAATTGCTACGCGTTACATGATGTATTTCCAGGGTCGAACAAGAGTCAGGGCGCAATCGGTATTAACACTAGATTTACGGAACCCGTCATTTTGACGGATTTAAAATTTCATGTTAAACCCTTAAATTCCACACTGGAGTGAATTGCAAACTCGCACGGGCTAGTACGCAATTTAAAGGTGTGTGACAAAGGCGTGAAATTCGAAAATTAAAGTTACAGAAATTATAAGTATTATTTTTTAGCAATTTCTGCTGACGCTGATAATCAACCTCCGTAAATCTAGTGTTAAGTAAATATTCTAATTAACCACGGTATTTAA